TAAAAAAGTATGAATTCATGCATTTCCATGAGGCGATTTAGCTATTAGGGGAACGGGAAAGTTAAAAACTTTGGAAAGGGAAATTTCTCTGTTCCCTAGCTCTAGACATTTAATTTCTGAATCAGAGTATGTATTTATTTTCTTCTCCTACAATTTCTGTGATTTTCATTCTTGTTTAATATTTTAATATACAGTATTCAAGCCTGATCTGTAACTCAGACTTTGGTACAACTTTCCTCAATTGCTGTGTTACTGTGTGTCAAACTTCCTTCTCACCTTTGGATGGATTTATACCCACTATTAGTTTATTACTTTATTATTCCTATCTTCTCCAGTGGCAGTTGATATTACTTATTGTCTCTAAACGATCTCTCAATCAGACCATCCAGTTTTTGAACTCACACATCACTTGCATGCAAACTCAGACACATTTCCAGCTGTGCAGCACCAATTTCAAACATTCCAATGTATTTTTCAATAATAATTTTAAAATATATTGGAGACTGTCACTGACCCTTTAAGAGTGAAAAGACCAGTGCATCTGCGACTGGTCAGTTGATCCAAGCTGGGCTTAAAGAAACACACTCGAGGCCATACATTTGCACAACATAGGAGGGGTCAAGTTAGAATTCCTTGGAAATGAGAACTGCCAGGGATCAGGAGACTAGAAATTCCCGGAATGAAGCTATAGGTGGTTTTGGAGGAGTGGGGTAGAAGGGAAGAGGAGGCTAACGACAGGCGAGACGTAAGAGGGGTTTGATGATTGACCATCTAAAATGGAAAGCCAGAGCTAATGTCTGAGAGTAGGAGAAGGGGTTGCCTGCTGAAAAACCAGAGCCAGAGAGGATAAACATATTAACATAGCAGAAGGGTTTCTAAACTGATTTTCTGAAGAAGTGGGCTGTGCCCACGAAAGCTCATGATACCATCTCCATGTTCTGTTAGTCTGTAAAGTGCTACCAGACTATTTGCTGTTTTTTAAGTTTATCCCATACAGACTAATGTGGCTACCCCCTGAAGCTTTCTAATCAGATAGCCAAGGCCAGAGAGGGATGAAGACAAGAAAAACAGCAGAGGAAATTGCTGGTTGGAAACGAAGGCCAAAGAAGGCTGATGGAAATAGAGCAGCGGAGCAACTTACTCGATGGCCTGTCTGACATGAGAGGTTAATCGAACAGGGAAAGTGATAGATGCTTCCTGGGTTAGGCTGAACCTCCCAGCAGAGAGGCTTTGTAGGGGAGGAGGGATGTAAATTCTCCATC